TTGTGTCTCTTTATTCCCATCTTCCTCCTCCCATTTACCTGAGAGGAGTCAGGGGGGCCGGCTGCATTCCACTCTGGAGCCGCCGGTCCGGCGGCACTCCTGTCACTGCTGTGGCTGAGGAGTGAAGGAGGAGGAGGGAGGAGCATGTTTCTGCACCATGCTCCCTCGCGGTTCCTGTGCTGGGGATTGTGGGAACCGCGAGGGAGCATGGTACAGAGACATGCTCCTCCCTCCTCCTCCTTCAATCCTCAGCCACAGCAGTGACAGGAGTGCCGCTGGACCGGCGGCTCGAGAGTGGAATGCAGCCGCCAGCCCACCGGCCCCCTCAGAGTGTGTGCCACCGGACCGGCCACCCGGTGGCACATACATACTCAGCGCAGCCCACCGGGAAATTTCCCGGTATCCCGGTGGGCCAGTCCGGCCCTGGCTGAGGGAGGGGGCGGAGCTAACTACCATGCTCCCTCGCGGTTCCCATAATTCCCAGCATCTACACATCATAGAGTAGTGATTACTATCATAGGTTAGATGCTGGGAATCATGGGAACCGCGAGGGAGCATGGTAGTTAGCTCTGCCCCCTCCCTCAGTCCTCCTGTAACAGCAGGCACACAGGAAAATAGGGGAAGGGGGGGACAAGAGGAAGGGGACAAAAAAGAGGGAAAGGGAACAAAAAGAATGGCAAGCAGGGAAGGGGATTTACAAGACGAGAGGCACTAGAAACATAGGGCAAGGGAGGCACTTTACATACATGGGGTAATAGAGACAGGACATGGGGGGGAAGAAGAGGTAATAGAAGACAGCAGGAAAGGGGACAAAAGAACAAAGGGGTAATAGAAGACATAGAGACAGGGAATTTTAAAGTGATGGGTAATAGAGAGACACGAGAGAAGGGGGGACAAAGAGAGGGGTAATAGAGAGACACCAGGGAAGGGGGGGACAAAGAGACAGATGGTTAATAGAGAGACACAGGAGAAGGGGGGACAAAGAGATGGGTAATAGAGAGACACAGGAGAAAGGGGGACACAGAGACAGATGGGGTAATAGAGAGACACCAGGGAAGGGGGGACAAAGAGAGATGGGGTAAGGGAGGAGATGGGTAAGAGAGAGACACAGGGAGGAGATGGGTAAGAGAGAGACACAGGGAGGAGATGGGGAAGAGAGAGAGACAGGGAGGAGAGGGGAGAAAGAGACACACAGAAGGTTTGTTGGGTGAACAAAGAGACATACAGTAGGGAAGGGGAACAAAGTGACACAAGATTTGTGGGAGGCAACACTGGGCTGGGGAAAAAAGACAGAGAGCCTGGAAGAAGAGAAAGAGGCACACAGTTGGAAAGAGACAGATGAGATTTGGAAGGGGAGAAAGAGACAAAGTGGCTGGTGCTAAGAACAACACAAAAGGGACTGGGATGAAGTAAAAGATGCACATGGGTCGCTGTAAGAGGGAAAAAAAGGAGACAATCGGAGACAAGATACACTAAACGAGGTAAAAGTAATAGACGTAAATTGATGTGATCCTGACAGTAATACACACACATATATATATATATATATATAAATATATATATATATACACACACATGTATATTATTATTTGATCCTGATGAAAGTCCTCTATGCAGGACTGAAACGTTGATCTTTTTAACTGCATACTAATAAATTTTGGACTTTTAAATCCGAGAGTGCTGCATCCTTTTTGGAAGAATGGATACTACTAGTCTTGGCATGCTAGCACCCGGTTATTAAGGGATTACAGCGCACTGGCGGATCCAGAGTCTCATCTCGGGAGGGGCACTCATAGATTATTTAAAGAAACAATCCAGGCACAGTAACCACTACAGCTCTCTGTAGTGGTTATGGTGCCAGGAGTGCCGTGGCGCCCTCCCAGAGTAAATAGTCAAACGGTTTAAAAACAGTTTGACAATTTACTTGGGGTCTGCCAGGGTAGGGGCTGTAGTAGGGGATAGAGCCTCTAGTAGTGTGTGTGTGTGTGTATGGGAGGCAGTGAGTGTGTGAAGGATGCAGGGTGGGTATGGGAGACAGTGTGTGAGGGGTGCAGAGTGTGTGTACGGGAGGCAGTGCATGTGGGCCAGTGTGTGTTGAGGGGTGCAGTGGGAGCACTGTGTGTTTGTGTGAGGGGTGTAGTGTGTGCATGGGAGTGCAGTGTGTATATGTGAAGTGCAGTGGAAGCACTGTGTGTATGGGGCCAGTGTGTGTATGGGAGTGCTTGTGTGGGGGAGCAGTATGTGCAGTGTTTGTATGGGGAGCACTGTGTGTATGTGGGGTGCAGTGTTTGTATGGGGAGCACTGTGTGTATGTGGAGAAGTGTGTGTGTGGGGGGCAGTGTTTTTATGGGGAGCACTGTGTGTATGTGGGGTGCAGTGTTTGTATGGGGAGCACTGTGTGTATGTGGAGAAGTGTGTATGCGGGGCTGTGGGGGCATTGTGTATAGGGGGTTATGGGGGCAGTGTGTATGGGGGGCTATGGGGACAGTGTGTATGGGGGCATGTGGGGGCAGTTTGTTTGGTGGGGCAGTGTGTATGTGGGTTATGGGGGCAGTGTGTATGGGGGTTATGGGGGCAGTGTGTATGGGGGGCTATGGGGGCAGTGTGTATGGGGGCATGTGGGGGCAGTGTGTTTGGTGGGGCAGTGTGTATGGGGTTATGGGGCAGTGTGTATGTGGGTTATGGGGGCAGTGTGTATGGGGGCAGTGTGTATGGGGGGTTATGGGGCAGTGTGTATGGGGGTTATGGGGGCAGTGTGTATGTGGGTTATGGGGGCAGTGTGTATGGGGCAGTGTGTATGGGGGGCTATGTAAAACAAATGTTTTTTTATTTTTTTAATTAATAAAATATTATTTCTAATCCCCCCTCCCTTCCTAGGGGGGATATCGCTTGGAATCCCTGGTGGTCCGGTGGAATCCCTGATGGTCCAGTGGTGAGAGTGAACTCTAGCCTGCACCTCCTAAGGCTAGAGTTCACTCTCGCGAGAACAGAGCGTTGCCGTGGTAACCGCGGTCAATGCTCCGTTCTCGCGAGAGGAGACCCGGCGGAGGTGCAGGCTAGACCTCCTCCCGGGTCTCCTCTCTGCCCTGGATCCGCCACTGTTACAGCGTGAGTGCAAGAGCATTTTTCATTTTATATATTTATATATATACGTATGTAATGAGCATGTATTGGCCCAGTCTTGTTGCTAGTTGCATACTCAATTACAATAACATATTCAAAGTGAAGAGAGCGCACCCATAGAACTTCAAAATAAACAAGATCACTTCATTTTTTTTTTTAGTTGTGCAACTGCAGACATTCAGCATTTCAGTACAATTACTAAAATGTCCTTAATAGGCCAAAGTAGTTGTACTGAAACATTAGGGGGGGCACCCTCAGGGCACTATAGTGCCAGGAAAACGAGTATGTTTTCCTGGCACTATAGTGGTCCTTTAATAGGTAAGCAACAACTGGCATGTCATCACTTGTTAAGGAGTTAATTATTTAAATGACAGTACTCATTACCAGGCCCAGTCAGCAGAGGTAAAGTTTAAAACCTTTGTTTGTAATCTGACAAAACCATTACCCTCAGTATCATTTCACTGGAACAATGGTCTATAAAACATCAGAGAAACAGGTAATTTAGGTCCTAACTTGACAAGTTAAAGAATAACTGTCACCAGAATGTTTGTTTTATACAAATCCCTGTGGCATGTAATGCCTCTCCCCTCCCCCCATATGCCCCCATCTGCCCATTCGGAAGGTGGGGGTTTGTTTAATAAACATTACAACTAACTAGAAAAGGACCCATGCCATAGGGATGAGTGGGGGCCCTAATTATTATAATATGGGGGGGAAGTGGGGACGTAGTGTCTTCTTTCTTCTAATTCTACTTTTCTTCAGCCCCAAAAAAGGCCAAGTAGAAATGTATAATTCCTTAAGTCACTTTATTAAAAAAAAAATGGCCCCCCCAAAAATAAAACCACTCTGCAATAAAAGAATACTCTATCTTCACTCATGGAGGGCTCGCCATAGAATGAGCGCTCTCTGCAGGAAAAGCCTTTTTGTAGGCTTCCTGTGCTATTAGAGGTATCGCAAAGCGAGGGGGAAATTCCCCCTATCGACCCCCATAGGATTTTTATTTACGAAATTTTATATTCTTTTTACTTTTTCCATGTGGCGCTGGCTGGCAAGCGCTGCTCTGCCACCAAGTAATAAACACCTGCTGGCTGCTGCCTGCTGGTGCTATCAGCGGGCAAATAGTTCTTCAAATTATCATTCACATACAAATAGGGAGTGAATGATCATTTGTGATTCTTGTGCTGTAGATTGATTTCCTCGTCAGAAACAATGTTACAGAAACTGCTGGATTGACTGAATTCTGACCTCATTTGGCTATAGTACATATGGGGCGATGGATGATGACCATAGTGTATAACTATGGCAGAGGGATCTAGTATTCTGTGAAAGTAGGGGCCATATGCAGTAGGCATGTTTACATATACTTCATTTAAAAAATATATATATTAATACATTTTCATTACATATAAAATTTATATAAAATCCTTTAAGACTTACCCTAAATACCTCATGTTAATCTCTGATTTTAACCCTTCAAGTACCAGAGGACGGGCAACCAACACATCACCCCAGTGGCACTCACGTTATTAAAATATGAAGTGTGTGGTCAGTACTATTACTGCGATCGATTTAAAAGGAATAAGAATATTTCCAGACTTGTCAGCAAACAAGGGATGACTAGGATTGGCTGGGGAAACTCAGCCACTCCTGGGATTTGCAAACCATAACAATTTGCAGCAAAAATTAACATTCACGCTTATTGGTTTTTCTTTTTAATTATATTTCCAGTCTGTACTGTCCTTTTACTGAGCAGATCGTCAGAGAGCACTTTTTACTGACTATACCTGTATGTTATGTGTTTGGCTTTACATATTTTAAATTTTTTTTATTTATCTTTGTACAGTGTACAGTGTCTTGCATTCCTTGTCTAAAGGACTCTTAATGATCCAATTTTTAACATTTTTGCTCAGTTAGATCAGTGATAAATTTAAATAACTCCAGGTAGGTGTCAGGAGGCAGTTTCTGGGTGGGAATGAGAAGCCAGGTAAGTGTTATGCAAGGAATGGGCAGGAGGTGGGTAGGCTGAGGATAATACAGAAAGCAGGAGGGTGACGTGCAAGGCAGAGGAATGCAGTGAGTGCAGGTGGAGATAAAGGGAGTGTCCTTACCTGTACAATTAAAGTCAAGCATTCACAACCGCACTGTCATCCAAAACAGGTCCAACACGCAAGGGGCACACACATACACTGCAACATCACTCACAAGTATTGGAGCTACTCTGCATCCATGGAGGCCAAAAATACAGGAGAGAAATCCAAGCTCCAGCTCTTCGTCAAGGTAAGATATTAAACCCTCAATTCTCCCATTCTTCCCACTGCTGATTGGCATTGAAGAGGTTAATCCCTACATGACAAGCGTTTACGCAAACCTCATTAGATGCTTCTGATGTCATGAAGGGGTTAATAGAGGCTGACCTCCAGCAGGTCCATCTTTACTAATGGAGTCAATTTATACTTCACCTCCCTGGCAGCGACTGGCTTAATCCCAGCAATGATTGTAGTTGATGCCTTTCGCTGTGGACCAGGTAGGATGGCAGCCAAATGCAGTCTAAGCAGAGATCCTGGAAAATTGCTTATTTTTCATATAATATAGAGAGTGGCATCATTTATGCAGCAGCAGGTACACCAGCAGCACAGATTGTCACCCATTGGGGAGTATTCACTAAAAGGTGAGCTGTGGTGTGTTGGTGACTGGAAGGTTTGAGTTGAGAATCTGTTTTGTGCTCACTGATTGGCGGATTAACCCCAAAACGCTGTACGTACCAAGAGATGGATTACATTGAAATAACAACGCATCTATAATTATTTAATGAAAAAATAATAGAAATTGGGCTCTCCTGGGACATGGTGAAATTGGGAATGTAACTAAACAAGGGTGTGGACGGTTCTGCCTCTATTAGACACTTGTGTTAACTGCGGTCACAGTCAGAGCTGAAACACAGACACCTTTTTTAGTTAAATGTTACCGTTCCGCAGTTCCGGAGAATAATGACTGGTTCTATTTAGAGAAACCGTAACAATAGTTATTAAAAGCTGCACAAAACGATAAAGAATAGCATCTGTTCACTATACAGGGAGGGATGTATGGTGAACTCCAAACCAAATTGCTAAATTTACAAGTTGCTGCCTCCCCTCTGCCCCCAGCCTAACCATAGGCACTGCCTGGGATCCACAGTTTGGTACTGGACGGAGTGTATTTATATTCCCGTCCCATCTTATCCTGTGGCAAAAAATCTGCGAATTAAGGAACGTGTGCATCCCAAAGGACACAGATTAATTCATTTCTCCTGAATCCCACAGACTGCCGGGCAGCACCTATAATCCCTAAATATTATCCCCCCTTTGTCAATTCTACACAATATTCATTTTAGTGAATTCATCTCACCTGTGTGAGCGAGGAAGAGGTTAAATGAATCCTGCCACGTGGGCCAATAAACATGAGGATAAACAAACCAAAGCAGGTCCATCTCACAAGGGCTGCCCCACACCTTCACCATCACAAGAATGGTGCACCGCCTGGAGTGTGTGTCTGACTGTGTGTGTGTGTTTGTATTTAGAAGGTGGGTGGGGGGGGGGGCGCCTGAGTTTTGTCCTGCCTAGGGCAGCACAAAACCAGGATACACCACTGCCTGGCCCCTCACCCAATCTAAAATATTCATCCACGTCATAAAGTATAAAATATACCCAACCAAGTTCCCATTTAATGTCCAACTCTTATATTAACTCTTTATTCAGCACAGTGTACAGACAGACAGCATGACGGCTATTAGTAACGCAAAATATTGTCACAGAATGCTAGTAGGTGTAAACAGCTTAACTCATAGCTTAATTAAATATAAATGTGCAATATTGTGGGCTTAAAATAATTAATATACATAAGTGTTTCAATCACCCACCCTTACTCTGCTAGTAACAGCTGTGTAATACATCACAAAATATAACCCGATAAACACAACTAATGTAAATATAAAATGTGAACAGCGAACTTTGTGTTCGTGGTTTGTGAATATGCATAATTGTATAAATTTAATATAAATGCCATACAGACTTTTCATCAATCATGACCCGCAACCTCCATATTCACAAAATGTGTGGAGAGCGTGAGAGGCTGGGTGCAGAGAGATGGCACAGAGAGGCTGGGGGCAGAGAGATGGCAGCATGGCACAGAGAGGCTGGGGGCAGAATGATGGCACAGATAGGCTAGGGGCAGAGAGATGGCTTCATGGCACAGAGGCTGAGGGCAGAGCGTTGGCACAGAGGTTGGGGACACAGTGACGCACAGAGGCTGGGGCACAGCGACGGCACAGCAAGGCTAGGGGCAAAGCAATGGCATTAAGGCACAGAGAGGCTGGGTGCAGAGAGATCGCACAGAGAGGTTGGGGGCAAAGCAATAGCATTATGGCACAGAGAGGCTGGGGGCAGTGCAATGACATGGCACAGAGAGGCTGGGTGCAGAGAGAGGGCACAGAAAGGCTGGGGGCAGAGCAATGACATTATGGCATAGAGAGGCTGGGTGCAGAGAGATGGCACAGAGAGGCTGGGTGCAGAGAGATCGCACAGAGAGGCTGGGGGCAGAGCAATGACATTATGGCATAGAGAGGCTGGGTGCAGAGAGATGGCACAGA